CACTCTCTTAATGCTGCATTGCCCACAGGCGGTTGAGCAAACGTGATGCACTTGACAGAAGCAGTTTTTTCTTTTGATCCCTTGGATTTTGAATAGGGCCCAGCCGAAACAGCATGTAAAATTGCAAGGGTTGCAATGGCAGCCACCTGGTTATTCCAAGAGGAGCAGGGAAACGAAGAAACATCACTGTCAAATTGCTATCATTTTCTAGTCCATGAGTCGTTTCTCATTTTCATACATTTACCGTTCTGATCTAGGCTACCAGAGTGGCCCGGGTCCACTTGCCTGGACGGGCCAAAAAGATAAAAAATAATAAAAAATAAAATTATTTTTTATTAAGTTTTAATTTAATTTTTTATTTTAAATTTGGTAAAGAATTTCGATGTCACCCTGAGGCAAAAGTTGTTCAGTTGATTTTTCTGCATAACATAGTTTTTTTTTCGGATTTGTTGGAATTTTTTTCATTTTATTTTTTTTGGCTGGGACCTTCCCTGGTCCTTGCACGGCCGGGCCGCCCGGGAAAATAGGGCGACCCGAGTGGCCCGGCTGGTAACCTAGGTTATCAGTCAATTCCATACTTGCGGCGCACTTCTGTGGTGCCCCGTGCGGTGCGCGTGCGCCATGCGCCGTGCGCAAATTGGTGATGCGCTGAATTTTTTTTGTTTCTATTTTTATTTTTATTTTTACCTTTTTTAGGGATGTGTGTATACACACACACACACACACACACACACAGAGAGAGAGAGAGAGAGAGAGAGAGAACAAAGGATCACCTTCACACGTATCCGAGGGCCCATGCCGGTAATCTGAGGGTCCTCGCATCAATTTAGCAAGGACCCTCCACCAAGCACGAGCTGGCTGAATATATACTCGGGATACGTATTCACGTCTGTGTTTCAGCAGTTATGGGTTGCTTACTTCGCTTGGCCCTGTTGGTCTCTGCACGTGATTCTCACTAACCAAATGTGCAGAATCAGAATGAATCTACTGCTAGAACGTGGAATAGTACGCCGCCATATGTTTTGTCTTTTGCGCATGTGGTGAATAGACGCCCTTAGGGCCACTGCAAATCTGCAGAATAATAATGAATCTTTTGCTAGAACCTGGAATAATACGCCACCATATGTTTCGTCTTGTGTGCATGTGGTGAGTAGAGGCCCCGTTGCATACCGTGACGGTGCGGACCAGAACAAGAACCAACCTCTCTAACGCAGCGGAAGGCTAATATACCAATGATCACACCAATCAATGTCGCAATGCAGGCCACACACACATCATCATCATCACATGGTGTGAAAAGGCCTGGCGCTTACACAGGAAGAATGCGCCAGTCCCCAATCATACACAGACAAAGAGGAGGGGGATCAGACGAAGAAGAGGGGGAAGATGGCCGTCAACACCAAGTCTTCGGCACAGGTCCCAAATAATCCCTCGTCAAATGTCTCAATCCCAATGTTGAGTCTGAATCCAAATGTCGTCAAGTCCCAAAAGTGTTGCATACCGTAACGGTACAGACCAGAACAAGAACCGACCTCTCTCACATAGTAGCGCAGCGGAAGGCCAATGTACCAATGATCCGACCAATCAATGTCGCAATGCAGACCAAACGTACATCATCATCATCACACGGTGTGAAGGGCCTGGCACTACACACAGGAAGAAGGCGCCAGGTCCAGACCCTGTCTCTTATACACATCTAGATGTGTATAAGAGACAGGCCCTCTCTCACATAGTAGCGCAGCGGAAGGCCAATGTACCAATGATCCGACCAATCAATGTCGCAATGCAGACCAAACGTACATCATCATCATCACACGGTGTGAAGGGCCTGGCACTACACACAGGAAGAAGGCGCCAGGTCCAGACCATACACAGACGAAGAGGAGGGGATCAGACAAAGAAGAAGGGGAGATGGGAATGTCGTCAACACCAAGTCCTCGGTACAGGTCCCAAACAATCCCTCGTCCAATGTCTCAATCCCAATGTCGAGTCTGAATCCAAATCTCGTCAAGTCCCAAAGTCACCAATCTCTCTCTCTCGTAGTCTGCCGATACTGAGAAGTCAGGTAGCGAGAGGGTGAGGGAGAGATGGTGGACTTAGAAGAGGAGGAAAAAGAACTCTCTCTCTCTCTCTCTCTCTCTCTCTCTCTCTC